GAGACGGGCTGAGCAGGGCGCAGGTCAGGCCCAGGATCCCCGTCAGCGTGTCCCAGAGACGGGCTGAGCAGGGCGCAGGTCAGGCCCAGGATCCCAGTCAGAGTGTCCGAGAGACAAAGGAACCGTGGCCCCAGGGAGTCGACTAGCACAAACGCACAGACTCAGCTCTAAACTGAAAAGGATCGGGAACCCCCGCAGAACACGTGACCTGCACATATTCTGGTTCAAAAGGACATTTGGGCCAGGAGGCAGAGGGGGAGGGGAAGATTGAAGCAAAGACGAGGCTGCCCAGGTCAAGGTGGGCGGGGTTCAGGGCAGAGGGGACGCACCTGCTCATCAGGTGGTGTGAGCGTAGCATGGGGGCCGGGACTTCGTGCACACAGCCTCTCCCCTTGCTTTTGCATTGGCCGAGCCAGGCACTTGGTTCTAGTGCTTTCCAGATACATGCTACGCTTCCAGTGGCCACCAGGGGTCAGCACCCCACCAGTGTTAGCCTGATGGCCGTGCAGACGTCCGTGCGGGGGCCAAGACAACAGCTCCTGTCCTGGCCCACCACCCATCTCAGTTGTTCTGTCTGCACAATAGGACTGACCGCTCCCCTACACGCGGGTCCCTGTGGGGTGAGAAATAAGCACAAAAGCACTTTGGATTTCCACCAGAGTTAGGACCCTATGGACGGGACTGAGGGTCATTCCTCAGCATCACCCAGGCACACTGGTCCCTCAGTGCACATTTTGGGGGTCCTGGCCATGTACTTGAGGCCCCCTGATCAAGTCTGCTTCCTCTGGTCATGTGGAGTTCTGGGAGGTCCCAGGTAGTGGTCCAGGGAGGCTGTGGCCACAGATGGGGGCTGCTGGGGGGACGGCCAGACAGTGACCCTCAGGTCAGGTTTGTTAGTACCAAAGGGACAGACTTGTGGTGTCCCGAAGGGCCCAGCTAGGAACGGGGTTCTCGAAGACCCAACCAGTTTAACTCAATCACAGGTGAGCTGAGCTACCCTGGGGCTGACCCCTCACCCCTACGTCCCCCAACACGGCCGGCTGCAATTTGGGCGTGACATTGGCCGTCCGGAGTGTGATCCCTGGCAAGGCCTCCTCCACAGGGAGCCCCTGCACCCAGCCCCACTGCCACCGGGCTTAAAAAGCCCAGCGGTCAGGCCAGGAGGGATGGCAGGTGTCCACACCACTCTGATGAAAGCCCGCACATCCACACCCTGGTACCTCCACATTACTACACCCGTCCCCAAGCCCAGGCAGGAGCGGCCCCAGGCTCACCAGGCGCCAGAGGAGAATCGGTCACCTTGTGCAGCTGTGTGCATGTGGATGGGGCTGGGGTCCTGCCATGTCCCCTCAGAGCTCGACATGGGCAGGCCCTCCCCTTGGGCGTCTGTTCGGCTCCAGTTGGCCTCCCTGACTCAGTGGCATCGGCTCCAGGTTGCGTTCCGGGAGGCTCTGGGCTGCCACCACTCTGGGCCAGGGCCAGGCCTGCAGTGTCCGAGCTGCTGTTTTCAGAATGGCTGCTGGCGTGCGCCCACTCCAGTCCCGGGGGAGAGTGTGGGCCCAGCAGTGTCTGTCAGGAGCATGACGGGGTACCTGGGAGCTGAGCAGACCGATCCCCTCCCCAGTCCTGAAGGAAAGCACTTCTTTGGCCCCGGTGGCTGCACCCTCGGCCCACAGCAAAGCCGGACGGCCACCCCGAGGGACTCAGCTTCTTGAAACAGATCAAGCCAGATCTGTGTACCCTGGCCCGCTCGCTCAAGCAGGTCAACCAGGCATCACGGAGCCCCGCCCTGAGCAGGGCCCTGGGCCGCTGGCACTGCAGAGGTCGGAGCGAGTCTGGCCCCCAATCAGAGCCCAGTGTGACAGCCGGGGAATCGAGGGAGTGGGGGTGGGGGGAGACCTGGACAAAATCAGCCTCACTACCAACCAGCAAGGGCACAGATGGGATCCCAGCCCAGGTCTGCAAGGGGAAGCTTCTTGCGGGCAGCAGATTGCTGGGATGGAGGCAGACAGAGACGGCGTGGGCACCGTAGCGAGGGGGGACAGGGTCCCAGCAAAGGGGAGAAGGTAGCCAGGAAAGAGCCCGGCTTGAGGAGCTGGACCACAGAGTGTGGGAGGTGAACGAAGGTGAGCCCCAGGGGAGCCCAGGTGAGGTGATGGCGCCGAGGATGGGCAGGAGACGAGCCAGGTGTGTCTCCACCTACAGACTGAGAGGTGGGCGTTTCTTATCTCACCTGAGAACCCCTATAGGGCAGGCGCTGACTGGTAACCCCCAACATCCATGGAGGGGGCAAGCAGATGCCCACAAGGAGGAGGCGCCAGCCACAGCAGAGAAGGCTGGGAGGAGAGTGTGTGGGCCCCAGAAATCCCAGGAGAGGGAGCTGAGAGGAGAGAGAGGCCAGGGTCAGATGCAGCCCTAGGGACAAGGAGAGCGGAATCGTTGCTCAGTGGACTTGGCTGTGACGGGACAGAAATGCTCAGTGGGAGGGGACATGAAAAAGACCGTTATTTTTAGCTAAGGGAGGACGTCCTCGTGTGCATGCTTTGGCTCACTTGGACGCGTCATCAGGAATGACCAATCACTAGGAAAGGACATCAAGTTTGGTGAAGTAAAGGGTCCGTGAAAACAAGGGGAGCCCCCTGTGAGATGGAGTGACCCAACAGCTACAACAAAGGACTCAAACACGCCAGTGATCATGCAGATGATGCAGTACCGGGCAGCATGTCATTCTGTCGTATATAAAGTGGCCGCGAGTTGGCGCCAACTGGACCGCCCCTAACAACAGCAGCAATGTCGTAGAGGAGGAGCAGCAGAGAGGGACTGGGTGAAGGACCTTCTTTACGTTGCTTCTACCCGACTTCCTCATCGTTTTGCTGGCAAGTAAACTGGTATCACGGTCCACCCCAGGAGGCAGCAAACTTGCTGTAAAGGACGAGAGAGTATATATTTTAGGCTTCGCAGGCCACAGGACTCCCTGAGTGTCACGGTGAACACACTTAGCTGCTAACTGAAAAGTTGGAGGCTCGAGTTCACCCAGAGGCACGTTGGAAAAAAGGTCTGGCGATCTGCTTCTGAGAAATCAGCCATTGTTTTCATCGGAGCACAGTTCTACCCTCACCTTGAGTTGGAGTCCACTTGGCATCCGCTAGGTGGTGGTGGCATTTCGGGCCACGTGGTCTCTGTCCTCCTCCTTCTGTGGTCTTTGGAAATGTAAAAACCCTTCTTAGTTTAAGGGCCATACAGAGGCCATACTTTGCCGACCCCTGGTCTGGAGCCATGGAAGCGCGTGGATTTCATGGAAAGTTACTAAAAACTAGGGACATCGGCTCACGGGTGTGATCCCCACACGTGTGGGCTGTTCTGTGTGGCCTGAGGTGGTGGCACTGGCTCTGTCCCTGGCACTGTGGGCTCTAGGGACACATTAGTCCCCACCCCCGGCATACACACCCTTTCCACTCTGTCAAGCCCGTCTTGTTTGGGGTCCTCTGACGTGGTCGGCCTCTGTCGGGATCAGCACTGTCATGTGGGGGACGAGTTGTGTTGTGGTTGCTGGGTGACTTTTCCGGAGGCCCAGCGCCTCCTGGGGAGCCCCTGTAACAAGTGATGTCACTGGTGTTGTGAAGAACAGCTCGGAGACATGGGCTCCCCGGCCCTGCGCTCTGGGCTGGCCGTCAGGTGGAGCTGCTCTGAACGCCCCAGGTGGCTCCTCGCTGTGGCCAGCCTCAGGGCTCGGGGTCTGGGCGTGACCCCAGGGGCTCTCCTCGGGAGCCACCAGACCCTGGGACTGAGTTTGAGGTCACCTAGGAGAAGGCCGCAGGCTGTGGAAGGTTCTGGGTGGCCTGCTTCTCCTGAGGGGTCAGGCAGATGCCGCACCCCACAGGGTCAGAAATGGGATCTCCCCAGCGGTCACCATTTCTCATCCTAAACCAGAGGCCATGCAGAATCCAAGCGCGCGGAGGATACTGGCCCTGCAGGTTGTGAACACGCCGTGCCCAGACACACACACCCAGGGCCAATGCCGGGCCGTGGGGGCGTTCTGGGATGGGCTTCATCTTCCAAGTTTTGGGGTTTTTCTTAAATGCTTTCATTTAAAATTTTTCATTGTGTTATTTCCGAAGGACCCCTTGTAACTAATCCATGGCTTTCTCTTCCAAAAAGAAATGGGTGCCATCGACGACGGGGGCACCACGTGAAAAATGCAATCGTGTGTCATTGAATTGTAAATGTGGACGTTGCTGTGTTGGCGAATGTTCTGGCATCTGTTTTCACCACAATAAAGAAAAGAGAGAAGAATTGGGGGTGGTAAATTGAATCAATGTCACTGAGGTTGAAATGGCAAACGCTTTATTGTGTAGATTTCACGGCAGTAAAATTTTTTAAAAAGAAATAGAGGTATCCTACTATTAGAAGAAGGATGTGGGGGCTCCCTGCCCGGCCCAGGCTGGGAGGACCCACCCCTCTCTTGCTTCCTAACCCCACCCTGAGTGTGGGTAACGGCTTTGGTGGCGAAGGAACCGCATCTCAGAGTCTCATAGAAAACAATTAAAAAAAAAAAAAAATCCAAGTGTTGGTTGCAGTTGACACCCAAGGGTGACTCGCATGAGTCAGAATAGCGATCTCACCAGAGAAGTGGCTCCGTCAAAAGCCACCTGCTATCGTGTGCCAAAGCGTGTACCGTGGCACATCCCTGGGAGAGGGCAGCCGCGTTGTTGATGGTTTTCGCCCGTCTGTGTCGCTGTCACCCCTCCCAGCGTGAGGGTGTGGAGAGGGACTGGGGCCTCCGTCCCCCTAGGCCCACAGAGGGTGCATGGGGAAGGGCGTGTGTTCTGCGGCCATGTGGAAAACATGCACGATCCGGTGCCCGGGCGCGCACTGCCTTGCTGACTCCAGAAGGCGCTTCTTCTGCCGGAGCATCTCTGAGTGTTTCAGTGATCCCGTTTACATTGCAGATAAGCCTGAGGAGATCGTCCCGGCCTCCAAACTGTCGCGGGCCGCCGAGAACGTGGCTGTGGAGTCCAGGGTGGCCACCATCAAACAGCGGCCCACCAGCCGGTGCTTTCCTTCTGTCTCCGACGTGAACGTGAGTGGGGGGCCCCGCAGGGAGCGGCCAGCAGGTGTGCAGGTGGCTGGTCTTTGCAGACCCTGCCCCCCACTCTGCAGACAAGGGGCCAAACCCGAGTGGCCACAGGGCAGGTGCATGGCCCGGTGCAGACCCGGGGGCTGGAGCCAAGCCAAGCTGCTCATCTCTGGTGTGACTTGAGCTCAGTCCCTGGGTCTCCCTGAGCCTCGATGCCATCTTGCCCCCAAGTGAAATCACGTGTATGAAGGACTCTGCCAGTTTCTGGAAAAAGGAGATGTTCTGGGGTGGAAGAGGCAGCCAACACCGAGCTCAGGGGCCTCCATGGGTGGGGCCCTCCACACGAACACCGGGCCTGACAGAGGAAGGGCGGCCTCTCCCAAAGCCCAGTGACCGTGGGCCTTGGGCCTCGCCTTTGTGTGCCAGGCTGCCCCGCTCAGCCCGGCTGCATCCACGTCCCTTAGGTGGTCTCCAGTCTCCAGAGAGCACAGCCTAGGCAGGGTCTGGGGCCGAGGCCACGCCTCCCCTGGAGGGTCAAATCCTGGTGTCTGGGGCCAGATGCAAGTACCACCTGTTACTGTTATTTACTTTAAACCAGTGGCCGTCAAGTCGACTCCCCTTCGTGGCGACCCCACGTGTATCAGAGTAGAACTGTGGTGCACAGGGTTTTCAAAGGCTGATTTCTTCGGAAGCAGATTGCCAGGCCTCTCTTCCGAGGCACTTCTGGGTGGACTCAAACGTCCAGCCGTTCGGTTAGCAGGCGAGCTGGTTAACCGTTGTGCCGCCCAGGGACTCCATTATTTGTTTCACTTAGTAACTTTCTCCGAGTCAACTTCAGGTTGACTCGCTCTGTTTAATCCGCTCTTTTAAGTGATTCTCCCCATAGACGTCACGCGTTGGTATTAGTTTTGTGTAATACGCATGAAAACAAGCACAAGTGTTAACGTGATAACAGAAGCACCCCCCCTCGTACCCCCTGCAGCCCACTCCTCCTGATGGGACCCCTCCCCCACCCCTGACCTCTTGCTCTGTTCCCGGCCCCGTCCCGCTCTGTTCCCGGCCCCGTCCCGCTCTGTTCCCGGCCCCGTCCCGCTCTGTTCCCGGCCCCGTCCCGCTCTGTTCCCGGCCCCGTCCTGCTCTGTTCCCGGCCCCGTCCTCTGTTCCTGGCCCTGTCCTGCTCTGTTACCAGCCCTGTTCTGGCCTCCTGCTCTGTTCCCTGCCCCGTTCTGGCCTCCTGCCCTGTTCCCAGCCCCGTCCTGGCCTCTTGCTCTGTTCCCCGCCCTGTTCTGGCCTCCTGCCCTGTTCCCAGCCCCATCCTGGCCTCTTGCTCTTTTCCCAGCCCCGTCTGTCTGTGTCTATGCACCCCACCTTGTCCCAGATCCTCTCCAACCTCCGAAACAGCCTGTGCAAGCGCCCCCACCCCACCCCTCCAGAGACCAGGGGCCAGTGCAGCTTCTGCAGCCCAGGCCTACAGAGGAGAGAGACCGACAGACAGATGACAGGTCGGGTGAGGTGGTGCCCTGTAGTAGGATATTGGGGCAGGTGCCCTGTCCCTAGACCTTGCAGGACACACCTCTTCACTGAGCATTCGCATCTGATCATTTGCGGAGTTGCCCTCCCTGTGCGCACGAGGAGGCAGCCGGCATCCATCTCGGCTTCCCAGACAGGGACACGGCAACTCTGAGTGACGAAGGCGGGGGTGGAGGCTCTTCAGGGAGCTTGCTTCCAAAGTGGTGGGGGAGCTCCAGGCTCCTTCTCTGGGACCCAGCCGGAGGAGGAGGGAGCTGGGTGGCCCACCTGCACAGGACCCCAGCCCCTGAACTTGGCCTTCACGCCCCAGACCGACCCCACAGCTCCCTCACTGGGCATGGCCTCCCTTAGCAGTGCCTTGCCCACGCCCCACCCGGCCGGGGTTGTCATCCCCGTCCTGAGGAGGAAGCAGGGGCTCCTACTTGAGGGCTTGGCCAAGGTCCCACGTGTGTGGGGGGCCAGGGTCTGGGCACAGGTCGGACCCCACACGTCCACCACCCTGTCCATTCCAGCAGGATGTCGTTCCTGGGCCCCCTCTTGGAGACATGTGTCCATCTAGTCTGGCAAATGGTGTCTGTGGCGACTGTGGCCCCACAGTGTGGCCTGCTTGGTTTCAGCAGGGCCAGAAGCTGATGCTGAGGGAGCCGGGGGCGGTAGGGGGAGAGGGCCCTGTGGGGTTCTCATCAGTCTCAGATGGAGGCTGGATCGCCTGGAGCACCCCAGGGGGGTGGGGTGCAGTGAGCCACTGACTCTCCCCCAGTGCCCATGGCCGATGGGGGCCGGCGCGGCTGGCGTCTCACCGTGGGCTCTCTGGTTGCAGTCCGTGTATGAACGCCAGGGGATCGCGGTGATGACGCCCACCGTTCCTGGGAGCCCCAAAGGCCCGTTTCTGGGCCTCCCTCGAGGTACGATGCGAAGGCAGAAATCTATAGGTAAGAAGTGTGGCCGTCACCCGCAGAAGCTGCCCCGCGGCTCTTGAACATAGTCCTCAGTGCCCACTGGGAGGGCCGCCCCGGGGGTCCACCCCATGACCTCGGTGTCTCAGCCCTGACACCCACCCCGCCAGGCCCTCCACCGGAGGGCGCACCTGGCCTCACCCGCTGGCCGCCATCTGAGCGTCCCAGCGGTTTAAAACCTCCCTCCCACCATGGTACCAAATTCAGGGCACTTTTCTAATCTGGCAAGCCGAGTTATTTGTGAAAATACCAGCAGGGTGGAGGGGGAAGGGGCACCATGTGTCAGGAAGGAAGGCGGGGGCAGGCCAGGTCAGTTCCCCCACCCTGCTCTGCGTGGCCGCGATGGGCAGGCTGACCGGCTCCCCCCACCAAATCCCTGCACCAGCCGCAGTGGGCAGGCTGACCGGCTCCCCTCCCCTAAATCCCTGTGCCAGCCGCGATGGGCAGGCTGACCAGCTCCCCCCGCCCCAGAATCCCTCCACTGGCCGCAGTGGGCAGGCTGACCGGCCCCCCACCCCAAATCCCTGTGCCAGCCGCGATGGGCAGGCTGACCAGCTCCCCCCACAAATCCCTGTGCCAGTCACGAAGGGCAGGCTGACCGGCTCCCTATGTCCCCTGCGGCAGTGTGCGCTGCCCCATGTTGTAGGATGAGCTCAAGGGGACATCCTTCTAAGGGTGGCTGGGTCGGGTTCTTGAATGCTGATGAAATAACACGCTGTCTTGTATAAAACGGTTCAGTCTGCTCGTTAACATCACAGTGACCCTGTGAACTGTGGCACAGACACAGGTAACCCTTCCTCTTTGGGAGAGTGGCTTTGGGAGAGAGTCCAGCCTTGGTTTTACCTCGTAAATTCCCGTAGACGCCAAGGCCACAGCGCCGGGACACGGGGGGCTGCTGCCCACTTAAAGACAAGAGTACTTGCAGTGGCCTCCCGGCAGTCCCGTGGACTCTCGCTTAGGGGACACAAACCCGTGTTCTAGAACCACTCAACCATGCACTGAGGCCCAGTGTCTGGGTGACTGTGGGGTGGACTGCGGCGTGCAGCAACTAGACATCAGTTGTGGGGGCTGTGGCGTCCGCTGTGATCCAAACGCCTCCCTGACCAGCAAGCAAGCTCGGGGCCCGGGCGGTACTAGTAACATGTAAACCGTGTGTGTGACTGGTTTGTTACCTGCTTAATAACAGCTGATTTCCTCCTGTCAGACAGCAGAATCTTTCTGTCAGGTTAGTGCATCCTTACAGTTTGGAACCTGTAATCTGAATGTGACTCAACTTACTCCATAAGGTGTATTCTTAAATTATTACTCCTTGGGAACGTAACTGCCAGCCAGCCGACTCGCAGTGAACAGCCAATACAGAAAGCCTTTTCCAGCCAAATTACCCTCCCTCAAGGAGTATGTGGAATTTGGAATACCCTTATCGAATGGAGATTTTGATCAGAATAAGTTACTGTATTTTGTGACAGGAGTTTTTTCTTTGAAGTGATTCGTTTTGCTCCTTCCGAGACCCCTGCATGCCCCCGACGTTAGATTCTAGGCACCTCGTGTCTGCGGTGTGTTTGTGTTTCTGTTCCCCTCCTCCCATACTGCACCCTGTTGTCGTTTTCATGTTCTTGCTGAAAAGAGTCTACAAAGTCACACCCAGCCACACACACAGGGAACTCTCAGGCAGACAGTGGGTTTGGTCCCGCCCAGCCCAGGAGCCAGGGACCCCCGCCCCACCTTCAGCACATGCCCTCGTTCAGCTGACATCTGCGTGGTTCCATTTGGTCAAGCTGGGACACACCAGGACTTGTGCCAAGTTTACAGAACTGGGCCCTTGTCACCGTAGAGGTGGGCTCCTGCACTTTGCAGCCGGCTCCGGGGCTTCCTCCAGGACGCGGAAGGGCTCATTGAGGCCGGTCGCCAAGTGTCTGCTCAGGGTCCTGCGCCAGCTTGGGTTGGTGTCTTTGGTTAAAGAAGAGGGTCAGGCTCCCTGCCCTCAAGGCCGTTTTGTAGCCAGGATGGCCCCTTCTCAGAGCCACCCCCTCAAGCCATCCTTCCGAGGGCCCCAGGGATGCCCAGTACACACAGAGCCCAACGTCGTCACCCAGAGAAGTCGGGCTGCACAGTGGGTTCGTGTGGGCCTGGAGGGGACAGTCACGGTGACATAGCACCTCCTCCCAGCACAAGCAGGCAGACGCCTCTGCTCAGGGGTGGGAGCGGTGGCCGCCCTCTAATGCCATCTGAACGGCAGACAGCCCTTGGTGATGAGCAAATGCCGGCACCCGCTCAATGCCTGCACCCTCTGCTATCATCTCAGATGGGCAGCGGATGACAGCTCCAGGCCCCAAGACCCTAAAAATGCCCCCCGGGTCCCGGCCAAGCCTCCTGACCCTGCCCAGGCTGCACCCCAACGCGCACGTGCACACACACACAGCCCCAGGAGGGCAGCGCCCAGAGCTCAGCCTGGACAGCAGCCTGGAGCAACGTCCAGCCCCACCCTGGCCGAGAGCGTCACTCACGAGGGTCTGGGCACCACTAGCACAGGGCAGATGCACACACGCTCATGCACACACACACACACACACACACACACTGCATCCCGGTGACTTCTTTCTTTTCTGTTCTTTCCTTCCTTGGCGTCCCGAGTGGGCCGGTGACCTATCGCCTGGCATCATGGCTTGTGCTGTGCTTGTGGACAAGTGCCTGTTGTCTTAGCACAACTCTCGGGATTGGTGCAGCTGGAGCTGTGGCGGCTGGGCCCGAAAACTAATCCTCGTGTCTGTTTGCAGGGATAACGGAGGAAGAGCGGCAGTTTCTGGCCCCTCCGATGCTCAAGTTCACCAGGAGCCTGTCCATGCCCGACACCTCCGAGGACATCCCCCCTCCGCCCCAGTCCATTCCCCCGTCTCCACCACCACCCTCCCCCACCGCGTACAACTGCCCCAAGTCCCCGACCCCGAGAGTCTACGGGACCATCAAGCCCGCCTTTAACCAGAATCCCGCCGCCAAGGTCTCAGCGGCAGCCCGCTCCGACACGATGGTCACCACGATGCGGGAGAAGGGCGCCTACTACAGGCGAGAGCTGGACCGGTACTCCCTGGACTCCGAAGACCTGTACAACCGCAACGCCGCCGCCGCCCAGGCCAACTTCCGCGGCAAGCGGGGCCAGATGCCCGAGAACCCGTACTCGGAGGTGGGCAGGCTGGCCAGCAAGGCCGTGTACGTGCCGGCCAAGCCCGCGCGGCGGAAGGGCATGCTGGTGAAGCAGCCCAATGTGGAGGACAGCCCCGAGAAGACGTGCTCCATCCCCATCCCCACCATCATCGTCAAGGAACCCTCCACCAGCAGCAGCGGTAAGAGCAGCCAGGGCAGCAGCATGGAGACCGACGCGCAGGCCGCCGAGCCGCCCGGGCAGCTGCGGCCGGACGACAGCCTGGGCGGCAGCAGCCCCTTCGCAGCCGCCATCGCCGGGGCCGTGCGCGATCGGGAGAAGCGGCTGGAGGCCCGGAGGAACTCCCCGGCCTTCCTCTCCACAGACCTGGGGGACGAGGACGTGGGGCTGGGGCCGCCTGTGCCCAGGACGCGGCCTTCCAAGTTCCCCGAGGAGGGCGGGTTCGGCAGCGAGGACAGCGCCGAGCAGCTGGTGTCGCCCACACCGGGGGCAGCGCCCAGGGAGCCCGAGAACCACTTTGTCGGTGGGGGCGAGGCCGGCGCTCAGGGCGAGGCCGGGAGGCCGCTGAATCCCACATCCCAAGTCAAGGGCCCCGAGAGCGGCCCTGAGAATTACATCCACCCGCTCACGGGGAGGCTGCTTGACCCCAGCTCCCCGCTGGCCCTGGCGCTGTCCGCCAGGGACCGGGCCATGAAGGAGTCCCAGCAGGGGCCCAAGGGGGAGGCCCCCAAGGCCGACCTCAACAAGCCCCTGTACATCGACACCAAAATGCGGCCCAGCATGGAGCCGGCCTTCCCGCCCGTAACCAGGCAGAACACCCGGGGCCCCCTGCGGCGGCAGGAGACGGAGAACAAGTACGAGACAGAGCTGGGCCGAGACCGGAAGGGCAATGACAAGAACATGCTCATCACCATCGTGGACGCGTCCCAGCAGAGGTCGGCCGGCCTGCTCATGGTCCACACCGTCGACGCCGCCAAGTCGGACGGCTCCCTGGAGGAGGAGGACCAGAAAGTGCAGGTGGAGACGCAGCCGGACCACTCGCCATCCGAGGTGCCAGAAGGTGTCTCCGAAACCGAAGGTGCTTTACAGCTCTCAGCTGCCCCCGAGCCGGCCGCCACGCCCGGCAGAGCCATGGTGGCAGCTGGCTCCATGGAGGAGACGGTTGTCCTGCCGTTCCGCATCCCTCCCCCGCCTCTGGCCTCTGTAGACTTGGATGAAGATTTTATTTTTACAGAGCCATTGCCTCCTCCCCTGGAATTTGCAAATAGTTTTGATATCCCCGACGACCGCGCCGCTTCCGTCCCCGCTCTGGCCGAACTGATCAAGCAGAAGAAACAAGACACCCCGCAGTCCCCTTCATTGAACTCCAGTCAGCCAGCCAACTCGGTGGGCAGTAAGAAGCCAGCTGGTCTCTCAAACTGTCTGCCTGCCTCGTTCCTGCCGCCCCCTGAGAGTTTTGACGCCGTCACGGACTCGGGCATCGAGGAGGTGGACAGCCGGAGCAGCAGCGACCACCACCTAGAGACAACCAGCACCATGTCCACCGTGTCCAGCATCTCCACCTTGTCCTCCGAGGGAGGGGAGAACACAGACACCTGTACCGTCTACGCAGACGGACAAGCGTTTGTGGTCGACAAGCCCCCGGTACCTCCGAAGCCAAAAATGAAGCCCATCATCCACAAAAGCAACGCACTTTACCAGGACGCCCTGGTGGAGGAGGATGCAGACGGCTTCATCATCCCCCCGCCAGCCCCACCGCCGCCGCCCGGCGGCGCCCAGCCCGGCATGGCCAAGGTCGTTCAGCCGAGGACCTCCAAACTGTGGGGCGACATCACGGAGGTCAAGATCCCAATTCTCTCAGGCCCAAAGGCAAATGTCATTAGTGAATTGAACTCGATCCTGCAGCAAATGAACCGAGAGAAATCAGCCAAGCCAGGAGATGGACTGGATTCACCGACAGGAAGCAAACCCGTGGGCCTCACTACAAGGTAAGTTCTGTGGTTGGTGTGCGCGCCACCCGCTCCGCACCCAGGCCTGTGTGTCTCGTCAGTGCGGACCCCACGTCCCCACGGGGAGCAACCAAGGCAAACATGAAGAGGGGAACCCGTAAGGCCGTGTGCATTGGCCGCGACCGTTACACAGTAATGCGCTTCTTTTTCTTACTGTCCGGGACTCCAGCGCGGCGGAGTAACGATGACATCACCCTCAAAGGACGCAGCACTCCCTTGTAAAGACTCGTAAAGAAACATGTCCACAAGGAGCCGTTACCGCCGTGGCAAGAGAGCAGCCCTGCTCTCCCCTCTCGTGCCCGCCAGGTCTGCCCAGGACCACCAAAGGGGCCATTTCCAACCAGCCGACCGGTTGCCATCGAGTCGACCCCGACTCATGGCAACCCTGTGTGTGTCCGAGTAGAATGGTGCTCCATGGGGTTTTCAATGACTGTGATCTTATGGCAGTAGATTGCCAGGCCTATCTTCTGAGGCACCTCTGGGTGGAATCGAACCCCCAGCCTTTTGGTTAGCAGCTGAGC